ATGTATTACAAATGAAGCTGGTCAAAAACACAAGCAGGAACATCATTATGACAAAACCCAAAATTTAAAAATCAAATCTAGAACACACTTATATGGAAAAGAGATCATCACTTAACAAATACTCAGTTGCATGTCATCTTTACAGTACAAAACTAAATATCATGACACATATCATATCTCTTTCAAATTGCACCAATGACAAGTAAAATCGCAAAGTACCTTCTCATGAAAAAAGTATTACAGTTATTGCTAACCATAAAAAAATGTTCATGTCTATATGACTTTAATTCCACAGCTGAATTTCCAGGACTCTACAGTGCACTCTGCTATGACAAGGTGGACTAGGAAGAAGGAAGGCAAGGAAAACCTGAGCTAGCAGTAATGTCACTTCAATAGTGTACCCTCCTTTCCTACGTTCAAATTAATTCTGTATGTCTGTGGAATAAACAGAAATGCTGCACAAAGGGGCATTTCATATTGCTGTTCCCATTGTTATGTATTAACTTGTAAAAATATAAAATACCCCACGTTTTAAAGATCCTTACTAATTCCCTTGTTTAATTTTTACCTAAAAATGTAATCACATCATTTGTATTTAATATGAATACAAAATCTATAGAAATTACTTTTTACAGATACCTGGGCTAAATTCATAAACACTGCTCTTCTCATTACTTACATTACAGAAAACACACAGAGCAGAAATTTAATTCTGAAATCATCAAATTGCTTTAAACAAAAGCAGAGACATGTCTCCTTTCAACAAAGTCAGCTTTCATTCATGAGTATGTACTGCCACAGCAATACATATCATGACATGTATTACACCATAAGGCCATAAGCCATTTTAAGCAAGAAAGTACAATAATTAGTTCTATTTTTATATATATTTATACTTCAAATTTGGTTGACAATGATATTTTTACACCTACAAATGCTCCAAGTCTCATTATCCAAGAGGGCACTGGTTTGGTAACTCCCTTTAAGCTTCACAGCTGCTGTAGTCCCAAGACAAGACACACATGCATGGGTATGCATTTGTTAAATTTTACTCATTCTTCCATAAGGACAATAGAACTGGTAATTCTCAGAGGAATCAGGAATCAGCAGTAGCAAGGAATTCTGTAGATACATGTCCTTAAAAAAATGCCCCAAACATTTTCCAGATGAAAAGTGATTAAGACAGTTTACAAATTCATCAAGATCTTGCAAGGAGTGAGTTAACAGCCACAGAGATCATGCATGGCTGGTATCAGTTCTGGCTCTCTGGGAATCATGCCTCTACCATTACATCTGTTGTCCATCTCATTCTATGTAATTCACTGTATTTTTTCCATTAAGGGTTCCACCCTCTCCTTTATCCCCCCGCTTCTTCTCTGTGGGCATTTGTTTCCCTCATCTGTAGGGACTGAGAACATCAATCCAGTAAGCCAGTGTCCTAGTCAGATCTCTCCTTGTTCAGTACCTCCACATGATGTACAAATCTTATATGACACACTGGTTTTGGTACATCATTTCCTCAGTGTAAATAAAACTGGTCATTTCGAGTTAAAATTAGGGAAGTTTTCTCTCTGGGTGTAGTCATCACCTTAACCTTAGCTTTGTCAAATGTATTCCATCCTGCACCACGCACCCTGTGACTTCTCACAGCCCAGTGCTGCCAACCCTTATTCCTTACGGCTCTCCCTGGAGGTTCAGCACACATCAGTAGAAGCTCCGGGGGAAGCACAGACAACTCCGAAGCAGCTGCAACCTCCTATTCCTCTTCTCACTCTCTTCAGCAGGTAGGCTATTGCTGCTCTTGTTTCCTCAACACCATCACTGCTGCAACATCAGCCAGTACCTACAGAGACAGCAGGTCTGTCTGGAAGAGGCTGGACAGTGCGAGGAATTGATTAGCAGCAGATCTGAGCCACCTGCACGAATACCAGAAGCAGAAGAAACAGTTGGAGAAGCTCTCTAGGTGGTGTCAGGTCCAGGCTCCCTGAATGCACAGCTCTCAGCTGCGCTGATCAGCAGCTCTAAACCTTGTGTCCATAATAAAATGCACCCTAAGACTTCCACACAGAAGCACAGCCATGGGATTTGGTGTGAGCACATCTGCTCACGCAATTTTTGGATCATTTGGGAATCAGTTAGAAGTGCTAACAGAAATGAACAAGGTTCTGCCTCATGCTCCACACCCAAAACAAAACAACAGACAGAAATAAAGATGAACTACAACATATTTAATTCTTAGAATCAAGTATGCTTTGGGGTTTGATCCCTCCCATGGATGCTACAGTTCAGTCAAATCAGGAGCAAGGGAATTGCCGAGAAGATTTTTCAGGAACATCTATGATCTATATCCCACAGTTAAATAATTTTTGGCACTATGTTCCCAATTTTGATAAATACCTTTGGCAGCACAGTTTTCTAAAATCTTAACAGTAATTTTATAAACCACATGCAAAAGTAAAAAAACCAAACATGTACAACCTAATTTTTCAATTTCTCCAAGGATAATAAAGGAAAAACATAAAAATTCTATATGCATAAAAGCTTCATAAGGCACAATGAATGAGGAAATGTTGAAAGGAGGAGAAAAGGGATTTGCCATGGACATTCAATATCATAACTTAGAAATCCAGCTGGTGATGACAACTGGATTATAATGGGCAGTTTTTCATGCATTCTGTTTTGCCTGTAGAAAAGAAACATTTGCACATTAATCCGTTCAGTGGTGCAGACAGAATAATGTCACTTTTTTCATTTATGAATTTCAAACAAACAGATATGATTTTTGCCTTCTAATACTGAACAGTTTCACCCCCTCTCAAATTTTAAATGGTGTTACATTTTTAAGTTATGGTGTGAAAGTTGAACAGTGCTTTTGCACATTGGACTGCTGCCTCCGTATTTTGAAATTTCCAATAAACAACTTGCTCTGCTTTGATTTTCACTGCCAAATTCATACTTCTCAAACATAATGCAGTCAACTTTCGTTCATATTCAACTTTTTTTCTGGTTCCCTTTCTACTCACACACTGTGCAAACATTCAGTAATTTCCTGGAAAAGCTAAAAAAAAAATAATTAATATGACTCCTGATGATTATATGTTTCTTCTGGAAAAATTAGTTTTATTTGAATAATGTAATTTCTCATTTTCAGACTAAGGAAATTATAATTACACAATGCAATTTAATGAAAATATCTCCCTTGAGCAAAAACATTTTCCCTTTGCATAAAGCTCGATAAAAATATACAAGAGAAAAAAAGGTATTTTCTTATTTTCCCCCCAGCTTCTTACACAAAAAGTCAGTTCTGGAAAGTGTTTTATCTATAAATTATCTAGCTTAGTTTTAACTGCATTTCCACTGAAGCCCAATGAGTATCTCATCAATAGTATCATAGGACACTGTATATCAACATAAAGTTCACCATCATCAAACAGATGCACTTCCTCTCAGTTCCTTTCTTGATAATTATGGTTACATCCTCTCACTACTTATCTTGTTGATTCTCATCTGGTTCTCTCTAGCCCCTGAAGCAGTTTAACTGATAAAAGATCAGAGGGAATATCTGAAGAAAAAAGTAAAAGCTTTTCTGCCACATCAGTGAGCTGAACTGGCTCAACTTAAGATATATCAGATAAAGAAATTACTAATATCATTCACAACAGAGATCATTATGTCTGCAGTTGTCCTGGTATTTTCCACTGCAAATAGTACAATTAGTTACACTATAAAATAAAACATAATTTGATTTGTCCATTAATTCACACCATTTAGTGAGTAATTACAAGGATGGAGATTCCACAGACTCTTTGGGCAACCTGGTCATGAAAATATAGAAAATTAAGTGCCCTTCACTACAAAAAAAACACAAAACAAAACAAAACAACAAAAAAAAAAACCACACACAAAAAAAACTAAACAAAGAATTTAGAAGGGCTGCACACATTTGATGAAATCTCAAGTACATCTTCAAACACCAATGCAAGGATATATTACTTTGTTGCAAAACGGAAATTAAGGGAACTTCATCAGCATAAAGAACACTTTACAGCACAGCTGGGATTCCAGGGTCAATCTAAGTCTACGTTCCAGATTGAATGCTGTATCTTCAACAGACAAAGTTATCTAAAAATTTGATCCAATCAGATTACCATGAAAAAACACTAAGGTTTCTATACTTAAAACCCTACACACTGTAGCATCCAGCTGTGGCAATGCCCAGATCAGTCCTCATTTCCAGTATCATGACTGATTACAGTATTTTATTTTTCATTATTATTATCTACTTATGTATTATGTTTATTTTTATTATATTTATTATTATTTATATATTTTATATATTTATATAATATTATTTAAATTTTATTTTTTATTTTTAAAATTGAATTCAACCCAAGTATAAATTGCACCTCCTCATATTGGAGATATTTAATCATCAAAGCTCAAAATGTTTACCTGATATAAAATCACACAAAGAAGGTAAAAACGGAAACATGCATGAGCAACATAATATTCAGATATATTTATCCTATTTAGAATAATAATGTATTAATACTTTGTATATTATGTGAAGTTACTATTTCTTGAAAGGAACAAAGGATGAAGTAACCTCTCCACAGCTACTCAATAACAAATACTGACATCATGTGAATTTCTCTAGACTTGATAATCTTTAATAGAGAAAATCCAGTGAAAAACAACCCAGCTGAAAGGACATTCTTGTGAGTCACTTCTATTATAAGGCTAAGTTATGACTGAAGCAAAAAGAAAAACAGAATGTTTTTTTCAAAAATACTTAATTTCTGGCTGGACAAGATTTAAGTTCCCGTTCTCCTTTAAAAAAATACTGTAATGTAGGTATGCAACTTATATATAGTCCAGTTCTCTTCACTTACATGAAGACAGTACATCTCCCGAGAAATTATAAAGCATTATATTAAGAAAGTATTTTATCATTTATAAATAAAAAAGAAACCAAAAGATACAGATATAATCAGCCTTACTTCTCCATGTCTTAAAGGTGTGATAGCTCCTCTTGCTACTGCCATTCGGAACAATGTTTCTGTGGCCTGCATCAACAAACACACACACAAATTCATTACTGAAAAAACAGACAATGCAGCTCATGAAGATTTGTTTCAATTCTTATAATATTTTTAAAATTTTCTTCAAGCACCTATTTTACAATTGAATCCCTCCAGTAAGTAATTTAGACCAATCTGCACAGCTTAGGCAAAAGTTTATTGCAAGGTGAGACCTGTATCAAGGATTTCAGTCTCAGCATAAGTAACTGCCGTGGTCCGAAGGGCAGATGGGACCGTGGCACCGCACGGGGCCGGGACACAAAGGTGGGATGCAGGCAGAGTCCTTTATTCACGCGTGCACGTGGCCTTTTATCTGCTCGGGGGGGAAAGGGCCAGAACATAGGGTGGAGTATGAGACAGACAAGAGGGGGACAAACCAGGATAGGGACACGGGTAAAAGGGAGAGGAGCGGGGGAAATAGGGAGCAGATAAACTCATGGCAAGCCTGGGCATGTCCAGGCTGTGCACTGTGTAGTGTCAATACAATGAAACCACACAATAACAGTAAAGTCCATATAATAGCTGTAAGATCCATATAATAAAATCCTGACAACTGCTGTATGTTTTTCTCCACGTCTGGAACCGTTCCCATCACAAGTAACCACCTAAACAGTGCACCAACCTCCCCAACACTGCAGCAGTTCCACAAAACTCTCTTTGCAGGTCAGAGACGCTCAGCCATATAATGGTCTTCCAGAGGCTGTCAGGTAAAAGTGGCCTACTGAGGGAAAAATAGCTATATGGTCTTTCACAACTCATGAAGATCATTTTTAAACTCTCAGTAAAGGTGGTGTCACAGAACACAACCCCATCATGTGTAAATGACAGGGAACAACAACTTTGGGGAAATCTTTAATTAAGTTAATCTTTAATTAGGTTGCATACCTTTCTGTGTTAGTTGGTCCATCCTTTCTTTAATCCAGTGGGAAAATTAGCATGTACTTCTGACATTATAAATAGATTACTGGCTTAATGCAAACTCTAATAGGTTCTGTACCACCATTCTTTCTACAAGATGGTTGCAAAAAGGTATGAAAAAAATTCACAGGTTACATAAATTCATGGATTGGCACATCAGAGTACACGTGAACAGATTTGTTTTAAAGATTTGTTTCCATAGCAAACAGCGAAGCCGGTTTCAATTTCAACTGTAATGAAACATGGTTCTAATATCTGGTTTTAATTAAAAAAATACTCCAACATTTAAGGATCTATGTTAAGGAGCAGTTAGTAGGCTGTTTGGAAAAAAAAATACCACATTTAGAAAGTTTATAAATAAAGCAGTTTGCAGTAGCTGATCATCTTTCTAAATAGTGATTTAAAAAATAAGCAGCTCAATGCTTCCATGACTGCAAAACTTGCAGGGTTCCTGCTACACTACCTTAAGACAGCTGTACCTCAACAAATGTAATATCGAAGACATCTCTCGAGATTAATTCCTCAGTCTTCTTAGACACAGATTATGTGGGTTTTACCCTTTTCTAAATAACTTTCTGCAGAAAATAACTTAATAAAAGAGCTTTTAACTACCTTAGGTTCCGCCCACATACCTGTAAATGAATGTGTGCACTCCAGAACGTTGGGCTGCAATAGCTATTACTTCATTTACAGCCACGAGGATGCAAGGCAATGCCCCACTGAATTCTGTTTCTCAACCCTTTCTTCTCTGAGAGATGAAGTGAACTCCATACAGCCTTTTGTATTTCCCAAAATCAGCTCCTTTCACCAACATTTTTAGGGATGTTTCAACCAAATTGAGCATTCTGTCAATACAGCTAAGCTGCTTTCTTTTCTTTTGAAAACCACTGGTGTGCATGACTTTCTTTTCAATCTACTTGTAAAAGCTCTCCCTTAATACGCTTGTACTCACATTGTTAATGCCAGATGTCAAAGCCATTTAGAAACAAGGAAACATCACAGCAATAGCAAATGTAGCACCACAGGTGTCCTCCTGTGGGCCACCCTTCACTTAGAAGATTAGCACTACAATCACAGCTTCCCACCAAAACTGCATGGGAGAATGAGGCCACCTATACCCATTCACGGACTGACAATGACAAGGCCAGAGAAAGAGCTATTGGGGTTTTAAGCAAGTAAAATCCAAGAGGATACTTAAAGAAGTTTATCTTTCAAAGGCATAATGGGCCCAAGCTTACTATTGGTGTAACCTTTAAGGTGAAGAAAGTGGACACTGGTAGAAAATACTTCAAGCTTGCATCCTTTTGACAAAGCAAACTAGATGTGAACAACATGTTGAGATTTAAGTAAGGCAATGTCTTACAGGGAAAAAGAACATGATGGAACTGTTCAGAAAGCTTTTTAACACCTTCACAGGACTATAACATCACACGGACTAAGGATAAAAGTAATCAGCTAGCAAAATTTCGCCAGTCTTAAATATGTGTGTAACACTTTTGTTTCTTCAAAGTTTCTGCACAGTCTTCAATTTCTGTCTTTTTCCTTTCTGCTCTGTAAATGCAGACACAAACAGAATTTTACTGGGGCATGTCCAAAGAAGGGCAATGGAGCTAGGAAAGGGTCTGGAGCACAAGTCTTATGAGGAGCAGATGAGGGAGCTGGGGCTGTTTAGCCTGGAGAAAAGGGGGAACCTTATCACTCTCTACAAAAATCTGAAAGGAGTCTGTAGTGACGCAGAGATCAGTCTCTTCTCCCAAATAACAGGTGATAGGACAAGAAGAAATGGCCTCAAGTTGCAGTAGGGGAGTTTAGATTGAATATTACGAAAAATTTCTTCCTGCAAAGGGTTGTCAACCACTGGAATAGGCTGTCCTGAAAAGCGTTTGGGTCACCCTACCTGAGGGTTATTAAAAGATGTATGGATGTGCCACTTGGGGACACGGTTTAGTGATGGACTTGGCAGTGCTGGGTTAAAGGTTGGACTCAATGAACTTAAAGGCTTTTTCCAACCTAAAGAATTCTATGATTCTATCTGGTCCTGCTCAGGTTCCCTTGGACTCAGGTTGCCTAGGCCTGTTTTCAACATCTCTAAGGTTGAAGGTCCCACAACCTCTCTGACCAACCTGTTTCAGTATTTCACATCAACACTTTCAGTGACAAGTCCATTAAAAAAAAATGCAACTGTGCTTCCCAAAGAAGCATAGCCCAGTTTCTCAAATTCTCTACAAGTGATGGAAATGCTTTGGGCCAGTCAAGTGGAAGGCCACCCTGCAGTTTTCTAGCTGTGACAAGCCAAGACACAAGGAAATGCAAAACCACAGAGCATCCTGCTGGCATTCAAGCTGCACATGTTGGATGTGGAGGAATAAACATAGGTGTGGAGAAACTTAAAATGCAAATGTACAATTTCTTTTTTTTCAATGTTAAAAACAAGCTCCATCATCCTTCATGCTCCATAAGGAATAGAGGAAAAAAAAGCTGCATGAATGAAGAATCCCACATCATCAATGAAAAAATAACAATTTGCTTCCATACCTCATATACTTTCTGAAATTCTGTATGTGATAATATCTTGCTGAGAGTAAGAGGATCCCTACAGGACATCAAATCTACTTTGACTAAAAATCTAGGTTATTGAACACATCTTGCCTGGTCTATTCTTGATATCTAATTTCAAATCTACCAGAGTTATTAGTATAATAATAGTCAATATTCATGCTGCATAATAGTCGCATATGACTTATTCCAATACTGATTAAGTTTAAATCCCTCGAACACAAATGTCTTAAGAATTTTAAATAATGTGCTAAAGGTATTAAGTATATTGAACTGGGAAGTTTATTTCATTGTATTAAATCTGATAAAAATATTCAGAGTACTGCTGACGCAAATCGAGCCAGGAAAAACTGTCCATTTAAGAAATAATAATATTTTCTCAAAGACACTGCTGACTAGAAATGTAGCTCATTTTTAACTGCTTCTGCACTAAATATTACATTATAATCAGATTATTTAGGAAGCTGTAAAAATTAGAGATTTATTTGCATTGAGTTCACTGTGAATAAGCCTGAAATAAGAATCATTACAGGCTTAGGCAATGACTTCAGATACTTCTACTCAGCGATGGGAGTGAGAAAGCAAATTATGAACACATAGTTTTAGTGATCTCAGTGTGAAATAAATGTGCTGCCAAGTTGATTGTTACTGAATCCTAAACTTGTTCTTCATTATAAAGAATGTACAGTGCGTTACATTATGTGAGAGGTGAAATGGCAGCCTAATGTATCTGACTGCTTTGTAACATCATGCAAGCTCTAATGTCATCTCCAGACAAAGATGACCAACTTCTCCCACTCCAAAAATAGAAGTTGCCTCTGATCGAATTCCTTGCAAGTGGGTTTAAAAAATATATTTAAAAAAAGAGAGAAACCACTTGTACACAGAACTAAAGTGGGAAATAATTGTGCATTATTGATGGAAGTGGTAGGAAAAACAGAAAAAAACCAGTACTTTAGATTCCAGATGTTTCTAATTTTCTAGGTATTCATGAAAATAAAATGGTCTTATAATAATTTATCAAAATAGTTACTGTTTTACCAAACTTAAAACTGCAAATGCAAGCAGTGGAGGAGATCGTTCATGCAAATTCATGAATTTAGAAAAGCATGCTGTTTAATCACCTGACAACTTTTGGCATCTACTTCTAATTGTGCATTAAAAAAAACAAAATAGAAAACAAAACTATTTCATTAAAATGAAAATGGTGCAAATTGTTTATAAGAACAAAAATGGATGGAATACCACAGAAGACATTTTTTCCACCATGAGGTTTGCTGGTCTTGGACACAATAGCTAACTGACAGTTCTGGTCTGTAAAATGTGTGCTTCTTCATGAAAAACAAATTACATTATAAAAAGGCTTTTGACAGATGATCCAAAATCATCAATAACATCTTTCAACTTGATTACGTATGAACTACTGTTATAGCCCATATTAGCTCACCATCACACAACTCTTGAAAGTAGAATGAGTGAAATTCAGAATGGTGAGATTCAGAAGCAACAAC